ACGCCATGAGTTAGACTGTATTACGGCAGCAGATGCTCTCTGAGGATGCTTAGTGCAGGCGAAACCGCGTGCGGGGGAGGCAGGGTAAATGTCATTGCATTTAGCTGAGCTGAAGCTGAACTCAAGGCTGCTTTCCAGCCAGCAAGCCTGAAGCTAGTGTTTTACCTCTGCAGTGTGCTGCCATTGCAGCACTGGCTGTTTTTCAGGATTAGCTAATAACTTTCTGCATTGCAGGTCTGCATGCATGCAGCTTCATTTTCTATATCATTACCTGTCATTAACAAAACAAGACATGTTGAGGTCTGCAGAGACGAACACCTGTATTCCTAAATAGGGTAAAAAAAGTAATATTGCATATTGTTTTGCAGTTGATGGAGAGCTCGTGCTATTTGTGAGGGTAAAACAACACTGAGGCTAGGAAACTAAAGGCTTTTATACCTTCTTGTGAAAAGAAAATTTCAAAACTTATTTCCCATGAGACACCCAATTCTAGAAAATAGCCTTCTTTTAAACTTTTAAAGTAGGAGCCAGCAGGGGCTTTTCTTGGGTAGCAAAGGAAGAGCTTGCAGGTTCCATAAGAACCATCATCCTCAGGCTGTGTGATGAAAGGAAAGGCAGTATCTCTTGAGGCTAGATCTTCTCAGAAAGAGCTTGGCCAGAGGTATCCTCCTGCCCATTTCTGATGGTAAAAAAACTTGTATCATGTATGCAGTTATTGTAAAACCCAAGCCCAGATCATGAGAGAATCTTATTTTTAGCAGTTCAGAAGAACACTGATAAGAATCTTAGTAACTTATGTATTCTATGTCTCAGCATCTATGAAAAGCCAGATGAAAGGAAAGTGAGTGTCACATCTCAAGACATTGTGATGCTGTAGTGGAGGTGTCCAAATGCTGATGTGCCCAGACAACTATGCAACCTGGTATGGAACTTTTGGCCTGTAAAATTTTTATTAGGAAGAGGAAATATATGGAAGACTGCCCTCTGAAATTCTGAGGGAGATCTGGTGTGCTTCATCTGGATTTCAGAACTGATGCCATAAAAAAAAAAAAAAAAAAAAAAAATCAATGAAGCAAGCACAAGTCGTGTCTTTCTTGTCCTCGCAGTTAATATTGCAGAATTTCTGAAAGCTTTGTACTTCTAAATATCAAGCTACTACTTCAGTTCTTGTTGTGGATTTAAATGTCTGAATTTGGGCACACAAGTTTGGAGATGTGTGGCGAGACTAAAGCAATGGGATTATATGCTTCTGTGGGAAGAAAAAAGTAACTATAGTCAGGGCAGTAATTTGATTTTACTGGTGTAGTTCTGCAGAACAGGTTTGTCATCTTCAGGACCCAGCTGAAATGTAAGTGGTTGCATAACTGGGTATTAAAGCTTCTAGTACTTATCCTGTCCATTCTTTTGGTAGTTCTGTTTTAATACTCATAAAATAACCCCATAATGGAATAATAGAATTTAGAAATTAAGAGGATGAGATATTGAACTGGTGCCTGTTACTTCATCATCTTTTCATAGAATGTTTCTTGGCGTGATAAAATATTGAACAGTTTGTAAGTGAGCACAGCTTTTTAGCTTTTGTATACCACTGTGAATTTGTGAGGTGAGTGTAGTTGCTACCCCAGGGTGCAGAACTTGTTGGTGGGTTAGGTATGAGAAACTGGGTCAGGTTACCTGGTCCCTGAATGCTCAAGTAATGCAAAATATAATCTTGCTAACTTTCATTTAAAAAAAAAAAAAAAGGTGGTATCTTCCAACATCAGTGACTTAGATGAAGGAACAGAGTGCCTCCTCAGCAAATTTGCTGATGATGCTAAACTGGGAGGAGTGTCCAATACGACAGATGGCTGCACTGACATTCAGAGGGACCTCGACAGGCTGGAGAGATGGGCAGAGAGGAACCTGATGAGGTTAAATAAGGGAAAGTGCAAAGTCCTGCAAATGGGAAGGAATAACCACATGCACCAGTGCAGGCTGGGACTGACCTCCTGGAAAGCAGCCCTGTGGAGAAGGACCTGGGAGTCCTGGTGGACAACCAGTTAAATATGAGCCAGCAGTGGGCTCTTGTGGCCAGAAAGGCTGACGATATACTGGGTTGTATTAGGAGAGTGTTGCCAGCAGGTTGAGAGAGGTGATTCTCCTCCTCTACTCAGCCCTGGTGAGGTCCCACCTGGAGTATTGTGTCCAGTTCTGGGCTGCCCAGTATAGGAAGGACATGGAACTCCTGGAGTGTGTACAGTGAAGGGTGACTAAGATGATTAAAGGACTGGAGCATCTCTCATGTGAGGAAAGGCTGAGTGAGCTGAGCCTGTTCAGCCTGGAGAAAAGACGACTCAGAGGGGATCTGATTAATGTTTCTAAATATCTAAAGGGAGGGTGTCTAGAGGATGAGGCCAGACTCCTCATTGGCACCCAACAATGCGACAAAAGGCAATGGGCATAAACTGCAGCATAGGAAGTTCCACCTAAACATAAGGAAAAACTTCTTTACTGTAAGGGTGACTGAGCACTGGAGCAGGTTGCCCAGAGAGGTTGTGAAATCTCCCTCCCTGGAGATGTCCAAAAACTGTCTGGACAAAATTCTGGTTCATGTGCTGTAGGAGTCCCTGCTTGAGCAGGGTGGTTGGACTAGATGACCTTCAGAGGTCTGTTCCAACCTCAACCATTCTGTGATTCTGATCTCAGCAGGTTCATTAGATTAGCTTATTATTCAGACTGAACTTCATTTTTATGAAATATACTATATTTACTGATTTGTTTGTTAATATGCCACAAAGTGCTGTGATAAATCACTGCAACTAATCTTATTTGCCAAAATAAATTAATGAGATATATCTGTCTGTTTAACCCCAGCTGGCAATTAAGCACCACACAGCCACTTGCTTGCTCCCCTCCCTGCCAGAGGAATGAGGGAGAGAATTGAGATGGGGGCAAAAAAAAGGTAAAAAAAGATAAAGACAGTTTAATAGGACAAAAAAGGAAGGAAAATCATAATAACTTTAAAAATATGCAAAACAAGTGATGAACAGAATGATTGCTCACCACCTGCTGACCAATGCCCAGCCAATCCCCAAGCTGTGATGTCCCCTGTCCAGCTCCCCCCAGTTTATATACTGGGCATGACATCATGTGGTATGGAATCCCCCTTTGGCTCAGTTGGGTCGGCTGTCCTGGCTGTGTCCCCTCCCAGCTTTTTGTGCACTCCCAGCCTCTGCTGGCCGGGCAGTATGAGAAGCTGAAAAGCCCTTGACTTAGGATAAACATTGCTTAGCAACAACTAAAACATCAGTGTGTTATCAACATTATTCTCATGCTAAATCCAAGACAGCATTATACCAACTACTAGGAAGAAAATTAACTTTATTCCAGCTGAAACCAGGACACTGTTAAAACTATTTTTTAATATATTTTTGTATTCTATTTGCTTTCTTAGAAAAATGGTTTGTTTAATAAATCTGCAGGTTCTTTTCCTGTCATTAATTCAAAATAGATGTGGAGGGAAATTTTCTTTCAGATACAGTCCATTTTGCTTCAAAATTATTTTTTTAATGGCCTTCAGTATAGCAAAGGGAAATTATTTTGTCCTTTAAAAGGGTGTGCATTGGTGTAACAGAAACATGTTGCATACTCAACCTCCAGACCAGCTGCCAGTGCATCCTTTACAAGTTCCAGCATCAAGTGGGCTTCACTAAATAATAAATAATAAAACTATTTGACAAACTTGTACAGACATTGACTGGTAGAGGCAAGCTGTCCTGGTGTGTTCAGTGCTATAGGAAGAACAGCAGACAAGGAAAAAGAAAATAGCTGCTGCTTAACAAGATTTTGTCTCACTGAGGCAAATTAAAATAACCATATCATTTATCTGCGGTGTTTCCTGTCACATGCTGCTTAACAGTGTGTCTATGACCTGCCTTTCAATATTCTGTCCTTTCAGTACAATTTCTGCCCAATTTATTCGCTGTTGCCAGAAGTCAGTATTATATTAAGGAAACATATCGATGCTGAAGAATTAAGATAGTAAAATATGGACTGTGTTTTATGCTCATTATAACTCGCATTCTTCTCTTTAAGGAGAAATAATAATCAACAGGAATAGAAATAGAATCACAGTGCATTATGGTTCAGTGATACAGTATTTACCTCGGAGCACCAGAGGATTAGTAATTATATATGTATCAATTAAAAGGAGGCAAAAAGGATGCATGTAGGTTATGGTGGTATGTGCCATTTCCTCATCTTTTTGTGTTCTCTTAGGAGGGAAAAATCCCTGAAGTGAATCTGGCGTAACAGTATTGGCTCCTTACAGTCCTACTGGTATGCAAGTGTTTTACTAGCCTAGTTCATTCATTTCACACAGAGCCAGCCTAAAGTATGCCTAAAGTCTTAGCCAGCCTGAAGACACCTTGTGCACCTCAAAATATTTTATCAGACTCTCTTGTCCAATCTTTCTTGATGTATGGTGATGCATTAAGGCCTAGTTTCTCAAGCATGTTCTTTAACCTTATTTTTTCTCATTGAGAAGACAATCAGCTTTCTGACTAATAGTTTTGGATCAGTGTGCTGTGTTCCACTGTGTTTGTATTTTCCAAAATCTATATACTTTAGAAATCAGCAGGAAAAAAACAGGAATGTGACTCAAACAGTTCAGAAAAATAAAAAAAGAATAATTTTTCTGAGGAAGTTGTAATTTAATGTAGTCTTCAGCACACATTTTATAGAACTGAGAATCTGCCATTTTCTAGACAGGTTCTAGAGGACCCTCACTGCTGGGACCTGTGCACTCAAGTTTATTTGTTATTTCCTAGCTATTTAATCTGCTACACCCATTTTATGTGCCTTGCCCATGATGATTTTGTTTCTTTTGGTGTTCTGCTGAAGAGTGAGTATGCTGAGACCTTCCTGGGACGTGTCATCTAAGTTTAGGTCTCGTTGCTAGTAACGTGAGTGTCTCATAGCAGTTGTTCTTAATGACTCTGAGTTTCCTTTGATACTAGGTGATGCAGATGTATCTCCCATTCTGTGGGATTGCCATATCCAATGCCCAGCTATTTGCAGCTTCAAGGAAGGAATATGACAGAAGCAGGGTAAGTAAAAAAAAAAAAAGTATATTGACCCAATATCAAACCCTCATCTTTCGTTCCTTCAGATTCCAGTTATACATGTGTGTTTGCTAAGCAGACATTAACTGTGTTTTATTTAAAAAAATGCATTTTCAACAGATCACTCTCTTAACTTGAGGCAGCAAGCAGAGAGTGTGGGAGGGAAATACGCTTGTGATGGTGGCTGTTGTTTCCTGATGTCAGTTCCCTGTTTTGTAGTGCTGAAACAACTGCATTTGTGACACAGATGGTGCAGGAGAGAGTGTTACTTCGGCAGAGATTCAAACTCCCATAAAATTCCAGAAACACCAGACCTTTGCCATCCTGAATTTGTAATATTAAATTCATAATAATATGGATATATTTTTATAAAAGTAAGCAAGAAAAAAAACTAAGTGAAGGGTTTTGACAGTGTGTGCCTGCACAAAAACATTACTTGCATTACTCATGATTGCTGATTCCATGCATGAGTTGGGACAGGAGGCTCCAAAGAAGTGAAAATAATGCTGGAGTAATTTACTTCTCAGAGGTGTCTTTATTTTTTTAAATTTTTTTTAAGAAATAAAGGTAATTCTGATGGTTTTCTATAATTGTTTGCTTTTTTCTTAATCTTTCCTGCAATGATGAGAAGTGATACTTTTGTTATCATGAATTGCAGCTTGCCAAAGCTTCAGTAGAAATGCCTCTGGTCGTGTTGAACCTACTCTTGCTTCACAAAGTGAGTGAAACTATAGTGGGGTGGGTCTGTGTATTGAGCACTGGCATTTGTATATTCAGGATTTTGGTGCTTTCCATGTATGGAAACTAATGCTTTCTGTTGCTTTGAAAGCTGCCAATAACCCTTTTCTAATAGTGTATATATTAAGGGTCATGAAGCATCTAAGCTTGTCTTCTGTCCAGGTCTGACTACAGACCACTATTTTGGGATGGAGATGTGGAGGAGGCTTGGGGGGACAAAAAAAGACTTTTCTGCCAAAGACTTTTTCTTTGTTTGATGTTCAAACAAAATAATTGTTTGACTACTTAGAGACTTAAAATTTGGTGCAGATTCCCAGCCCGCAGGGAACAATAAGACTTCTGAGGAGTTGGTGTTTAATCTTCTGAGGGAGACATTCAGCAGAAATAGGGACATTCTCATTCTTCATTAGAAAATGGTAAATTCTGGTGGTTGGACACATCAGGAAATTGGATTAGATGTACAGATTTTGTTTCTTGTCACTTCAGCCATGTGAGGCAAAACAAATATCATTGCCATCTGACAGCTACGTGGTGGCCTGTACTTAATTGTGTTTTTGACCTGTTGGTGGTCTTTAGCTTTGCTTAGTACATGGTTGAAATTAGTTGGCAAGTAACATGTGATGGACAAGCTTGTACTTGGCACTCCCCGTCAAACTGGGCACCAATGGCGGCAACCTCCAGTTACTGTGGCAAACATTTTGCTGATGATCACTGTGTTAGGAGAGCTAAGACCACTAACATTTATACACTTACCTATATGCATGTTCTTGAATATTGCATCCTAAACCAGAATAAAGGAAAAAAGCACACTTTGGACCCATGGTAAGAAATAACGTGACCTATTGTTTTTAAAGTTGATAAAATGAGAAGGGAAGCACTTTGTTTTAAAACACTATTTTAGATGTGTTGTTAGTGGTAAAGACTGGATCAAAGTGCTATTGGAATATGGAAGTATCGATGTGTGTTTTTTCTTTCCAGCTTTGAACATGCAAAATGGGTAACAAATGAATAAAATGGAGTTTAAATGCACCAGCAAATTCAATATAGCAAATCAAGTAACTGAATCCATACTGTGTACTTCAAGAGTTGCATTACAGCCATTGTTTCATTTTTGGACCGCAGTGAAATAGTTTGAAAGATCCCCATTGTTCGCCAAGAGTTGAATTGTGCCCAGTTGTGAGCTAAGAAATACTTAACTTCTTTCTTTCTTTAGATACCCCCACCCCAATTCTGCGGCCGTAACTGTTGAGAGCTCTATTTGAATAAAGATTTCAATGGATCGTTCATTAAAATCAATCACAGAGGTTATGCCTCCTTTGCAATACTCTATGTATTTATTTATTTTACAACCAGTACAAGAGTTTTCTGTCCTCGTATGCAGGCTTTACTGGAAGTAGTGAATGACCTCTTTGAGGAGCAGACTGACTTAGAGAAAATTGTCAAGAAGATTATGCATCGGGCCCAGACTCTGCTGAAGTGTGAAAGGTGCTCAGTATTACTTCTGGAAGATATCGACTCACCAGTAAGTATATCTGCACATTCTGTAGAAAGATTTTATTGTGGTGAAGCTGTTTTGTATCATATGTGAATACTGGACAGCAGGTATTCTTCCAGCACATCATTCTTAAGTGTAAGTTAGATACAGGTTCAATCTTTATTGACACTGCTGTTGTAGTTTAACCTTAGTAGGCAGCTAAGCCTTACACAACCACTCAATCATTTCCCTACCCCAGTGGGATGGGGAAGGGAATTGGAAGGGTAAAAGTGTGAAAACTTGTGGGTTGAGATAAAAGCTTTTTAGTAGGTAAAGCAAAAGCTGTGTGCACAAGCAAAGCAAAATAAGGCATTCATGTGCTACTTCCAACCAGCAGACAGTTGTTCTGTCACCTAACTCTGAAAGTGTCCCCCCTTCCAGCAGCTTTTATTCTGAGCATGATGTCATATGGTAAGGGATATCCCTTTAGTCAGTTGGGGTCAGCTGTCCCAGCTATGTCCCCTCCCAATCTGTTGTGCACCCTCCAGTCTATTCACTGGATGGGGCAGAGTGAGAAGCAGAAGGCCTTGATGCTGTGTAAGTATTGCTTAGTACTGCAGGATGTTTTCATCCCTGTTATCAACATGGTTTTCATCACAAGTCTAAAACATGTCAAATTAGCTTTATCCCAGCCAAAACCAATGTAGACAGTTTTTCAAATGGAAACTGAAAGGTACATTTATGATTCCTTCTGGTCATCTGAAAGCATTTAATAGGATGCCTGTAAATGACTGGTGGATTTAACTATCAATGGTGTGATCCAGCTGATACGCTGTGATTCTCAGTTGTGTATGTGATGGAATGGTGCTTAATACAGAGCAGCTAGTACAGCTTAACTGAGAAGCAAGGTGTCCTTTAATCTGCTTAAAAAAAGAAAAATGATTTGTTATCAAATATTTATTTGCTCATTCTTTTATTTCATGATACAGGCACTAGAAGAAAAGAAAAATCCTGTATGTAGCTTCATTTACATTTCCATGGAATTTATGACCTAGATAACATTTTCAGGCTAATGTCTTATCAAATGGTGGTGCTTGCAAGCTGCTTCAGAACCAGAAACGGTTACATCATCAACCAGATCTTTAATGGTCATTTTTAGAACTAACCTTTTCTGCATACATTCCAATAAATAATTGTCAGATATCTTTGATATTTCTACAGTATTCATACTTCTGCCTCTGTTATTGTGAAGTGTAGCAAACTGACTTACTTAGCTTCTATTCTAGTATGTAACATGTTGCATCTTTAATCAGACTATTAGTCCCTCAGAAATAACAAATAAAAATAAACTCATCGAGACTTTGTTAACGGATCGTCCTGTGTATTCAGCAACTCAGTGGGCTTTACAGCAATCTAATCAGTGTTTTCACACTAGTCAGCTTCTGAACTTCTCATGAATGTTTTTTTGTCAAATCCAGTATCTTAATGTGGAAGAAAAGCAAGACAGTAAGGGGTGAACCTACAACAGTGAGTTTTCTCAGCTACTTTTGGAGGCCTCTGCTCCATGGGATTTGTTCCTTCCTGAAAGTCTTCCACTCTAACTGTTCACAGGGGTATGTTTGGGAGTAGCTCTGTTTGTACGTTTAAACTAGTTTCCTTAATAGTTTGCAAAATAAATGAGAACTGGTCTCAGTTCCTAAACTATGAAAATGCTGTTCTCTTGTGTTATTTTGACCTAGTAATTTTCCCTGCAATAACAGAAAATACACTGAAAAAGATATATTTGCATACAAATGTCTAGATAGTCATGTACTTGTGACAGGAAGAAGCTTTTCCTTTGAGCAGTTGAAGTGAAAATATGACTTTCAGTATTACTGAAATATGGTTTTTTTTCCAATTGCTCTGTCCAGTTGACCAAGAAATATTTCATTGCAGAGCTCTGAGCAGATAGACATAAGGTATATGAAAGTATTTGTCAAGAGTTGGATTTCATGCACAGTTTTGACAGGGCCTTTCTCTGAGACTTTGTAGTACTGCTGTTCGTAGGGTATGAGAGCCTCTTTAAAAATGTTTAAAATTTTTATGACTTGTTAGTAGTAAAATAAGTTACTACCTTTGTATTGGTAGCTCCTTTCAGTGTTTTCAGGCTATTCAACACAAATTATCCTCCTTTCTACTGATTTGAGAAGCAGTTAAAAGATAAAAATGTTGCTTGTAACATCATTCTTTTTTCTAGCCAAGTATCTTAGGATTCACTGTCTGTGTAATTGATTATTTGTTGCAAGGCTGTGACAAGTCTAAATGATTATCAGACACAGAATCGTAAGTTTGTGTATATGGCAGAAAAAAAACCCTGTTATTGTCTCTCCTGGAGGAAAGAGATGATTCTTATTTCATTTAAATTAATAGAAATTAAGTACTTCCAGTGGAGTATGCACTAAATTACACTGGCATTCATAAAAGCAAGATCAAGGCTTGTATTTTGTTTATATATTGTGCTATAGAATTTTAATGTTTCTAGTTTATTTTCTCTTTCTAGACCCCCCACACTGATTTTATAATTACAAGATACAGTTCTACTACATTCTTATGAAATGCCACTATGTTTTAAAGTATACTATGACTTTTATTTTTCACAGAACAGTACATCGTGTTAGCAGCAGGCTGTGGGTGGCATTGTTCACTTCAGTTTTCTGCTCTTGGTACTATTTCTACCTTTGAGATAGGAGAAAAAAAAACAAACAAAAAAAACAAACAAACAAAAAAAACCAAACCTGAGGGTTTTTTCCAAACAACAAGCAATGAGTTTTTTTCCTCTACACCAAATTCTGAAATGTGGATAGCCAGGGTATTCAATTAAGCCTAGACTTTTTCTAAACAGTCATAAATCAGGTTAATTTGAAGTAGGAAAAGAGCAAGATGCTATTGGTCACTTTTACTAGTGGCAAAACAGTTATGTTCCTGATTTCCACCTATTTTGGAGGGTTAACCTATATATCAAAATAGTTGTCCATAGGGTAACTCAACATTAACCCATGTCTAAAATACCATAACATGTACATCATGTGAAAAGCTTTTACAATACAGAACCAAAGTGGGAGATGGGGGCTCATACTAGCATCCAAAAACAGTACATGTGTTCTGTGTCACATTAGCCACTCTTAAAATGTTTCACTTATGTGCTATAGGCACATATCTTTGAGGAAAATTGGTTGCAATTAGTAGTGCAAATGAGTCTTTGTGTTTGTTTTCCTATATTAAAAAAAAGTGTAGTTTGGGTAAAGTTCCATAATTCATGTTCCAAAGCCCTTTGAAGGTAAGCAGATACTGTTACAGAAAGTAGTTTCATGAAGGAATCTAAAGATACCATTTGATTTTTATATTGGTTGTTAGTGAACTGCGCACAGTGTGTATTTTGAACATGAATTCTCCACTGGGAGAATACAGATAGAATTTTTATTCTAAGACCATTGGGTAAAAATATGGTTTAAATATAGGAACCTTACATTTCTGGTTTCTTACATATTTATTAATCTTAATAGCAACTTAAATTTATTTTTTTATGACAGGTGGTGAAATTTACAAAATCCTTTGAGTTGTTATCTCCAAAATGCAGTGCTGATACTGATAACAGGTTAGTGCTCATGTCTTCTATGGTAATGGATTACTTTATTTTTTTCACATAGTTTTAAATTTGCTTGATCATAGTTTTATTTTCTTATGGAACTTTGGGTAGATCTGAATGAAGAGTGTGAACCTACAGTTTTCACTCAGACAAGACTCCTGCTTGCCTTAAATGGAGACTTGCTTGAATAAATATACATGTCTATATTTTTATATATATGTATGTTTGAGTATATAGTGCTAGCATTGTATCAGTGTCTAAGAAGAAACCAGGAAATAACTGATGAGTTTTTGTTGTTCAACTCATGAAAGACACCCAAGTGTTGTTTTGCATGGTTAGTACTGAAGTAAAAATTACAAAATTATTTTAGACTGTTGATCTCTTACAAAATGCCTTCTTACAGTTTTGTTGAAAGGTTTGCAGTTAAGACTTTATTTCTCTCATTGTCAAGTTGGAAAGCCTAAAAACCTCAGAGAACATGTGTTCCCTAGAATTTGTGTTCCTGTGACTAAATCTGGTTTGGGAGTCCAGTCAGAATAGAAGTATATGTTTTTCTTAGTGGGATCTGTATTTAAACACTGATAAAGGGCAAATTGTAAGTAGTAATAGACAGAGCATCTTGTCCATGTGCAGTTACTGTATTAATTCCTACAAGTTAATACATCTGGTAATGGTTCACATAAAATGTCCTACCTACCAAATGAGTGGATGAAGATTCAGGGCTATTGTGAGAAGGTTTCTCCCATCTTTCAGGGCCCAAACTCAGTCATTATCATATACATTTTATATAATCAATTTATACTGATTCTGAATTAAAATTTTCCATGTTAAATGGCTGCTGTAATGATAAACCTAGCCTTCTGTCCAACTTGCTATCCATAGCTTAGCAAACTTGAAGATTACTTTGTGTTTTGCCATATTTAATCCCTTTAAGCAATGTCAAAAAATATTTTGGGGTGATTTGCCTTCTTTCATGCTTTATTTCTTCAGCTCCAGTGTGGTAAGAAGCTACCACTTCATTAAGGTGAATGTGCACATTGTAACCAGATTACAATGGATCATAATTCTTAGTGCTTTTCATGGGTTGATCTCACAGCATTACAAAAATGGGTAGTGTTATTTTTAAGTTGTGGAAGCTGACAGCAGAGTCCAAGACCACACAGAAAGATGAGTGGAAGCTAGATCTCTTCCATACACTATCCAGTAGTTGAGAGATGGGAATGGTGAGACAAATGGAAAAGGAAAACAAGTTATAATAAATAGGAAGTTTTAAATATGAGTAAATAATCTACTGATTCATCTGGGAATAACAAGTTACTGCTTTTGACAAAGAGCTTCAGAGTAGCCGTTGGTCTTTCCTAGGTCAATTAAATGGGTGAAAATACATTCCTTTTGTTCAGAGACAGGAGGATGAATCAAGGGATGTGGTTGTTATTCCTGTTTTTCTCAAACTTGATCTGTAGCCAGATTAGTCAAAACAATGTAGAGTGGTGTCAAGATAACCAAGCTGGCTCATTTCTTGTTACCATAGTTATATTAGTATGTTACCAAAAAGCAGTTTGTAGTAGCCTGCTCTGCATGTAGTCAAGTCAAGATTATTTTAACTTTAGTCTGATACATTAATAAACACCTGCGACCTGCTAGCTAGTCTTTACAAGACCTATAAAGTTATATTTCTGTGCATCTTAATATAAAGATTTAATGCTTTTTCTTTCATTTTTCATCCAGCGAAGAGTGAAGTTGGTTTTGCAAAGACCAAGGTTAGACTGGCAGATATGATGTCACATTTGGATCTAGCACAGGCACAGCTTGAGTTATTGGCACTACAGTGGGAAAATAAAGGTTATTTAGGATACAAAACAATGGTGTAAGCCATTGACATTTGAGCACTTTTCTAGTCAGTTTTGTCCTTTTCATTCTGCATCCGTAACTGATGTAAAGTCATGAAACATTTCATGTGGAAAGATTAGTTTCTTCATTATTACACCAGTGCAGATCACTAAAATTTCAAAGAAATAATATTTGAAATACAAAGATATTATAGGCTGAAAGAGAGAAGTGCCAAGGACAGTATAGCTTTTCACATCCTAGTCTATCTTCTTACAGTTTTAGAAGAAACTGACTTTTCTTTTTACATTTTTACATCTGGCTAATAGCAGTTCACCTGTTTAGTCCCTCAATGTTATAATGAATAGTTGTATCTCTTTTTTTCTTTGCTGTTGGTTGTAAAGAAATACCTTGCAAGACAACACTTGCATTTATCTGTTCAGTTTGCAGTTTTTCAGCACACACCATGATGAAGTTTATTATCTGTCATGACATGCTGATGCATTCCTTTTTGACAGTCATTTTGGTCTTGAAGTATAGGTTTGCCAAGTCTCCTGAATTTTCCCTCTCTTTGAAGAAAGATTACATAAATCTTAGAAGCCCTGAGGGTTCTCAGTTCTGATGTATTCTGGATGAAGATGAGCCTGAGGGAAGGTGCTGGAGGCTCATGTCTTTCCTGCACAGAAGTCATTGTATTAGCAAATGATGTCACTGAGACTACAGCTCTCTGACCTGAGTAGCAGTAGTAGTGGAGAGGTCAGCTGCCTGAGCCAGAGCATGGGTTGCTTGGGAGAAAATATCTGTGCTCCTTCCCGTTTGGGCTGGTACAGAGGATGTGCCAAAATCCCTGCTACTTCTGTTTCTCCAGCACTGTCCCTGGGATGATGTGCACTCAGATTATCACCTCATTCCCTGCAGTATTTTCATGCTTCATAAGGCGTCTTTCTGCTCTCCTGTTCCTAGGAGCTGGAAGGGTTCATGTCACTGTTTAGAGAGGATTGATGGTACCTGTGATTTTGGCTGTACTACTTCCCTACTGCACTTTCTGCCATCAGGGAAAGTTTGAGGAAGATAACAAGGCAAGCAGCTGCATAAGGGGAGCCTGCAGCACTGCTTGATGCTCCTGAGCTGGGTTTACTCTCCTGCCTGGCATGTGGTGCTCCTGCTAGTATGTGAACATGACAGGGAGATGGTGGCAAAGCAGCCGCCTGCATCAGTGCAGCAGACTCACAGCTTTCCACAGTTTAGAGAAAATTGTTGCTTGTGATTTTTAGAGTAGCTTCTGAGTGTTCTGAGCTGCTGAGGATGGAGAGAGAGCCAGCTGGCTGTGATTTTCATCAGAATTAATCATTGATATCTCCTTCTAGTGAAAGCCGAGTGCCTCTTAGTTTCCTAAGTGTAAAGCACTTGCTAGGCATGGAGATGACATAGAACATACTTTTAAAACTTCTTCCTGAATTATAGCTTTTTCTTTTCAAGTTTCTTTTACTTGAATTCATTTGATGCTTCAAATGCTTCACGCCCATAATCCAATCCTGATTTAAAGTGTTCTATATGATAATGATAATATCATCCAGATTTTTAATGTATGAACTGGGAACTATGCATTTGAAATTAGATTCTTATTCTTAAAATATTTTTTTCTCAAGTATTGGTGTCCTGAAATAAATTTTAAGTTATAAATGTGATTTTTTTTTTTTTTACCTAGCTCAAAAACCGCTATATTTCTCTAAAGGCTCTTGTCAAAGTATACACATAACATTTATTACAGTCACTAAAAATTCTTATCCCAAGTGAAATTTGATACACTCTGATTTATTTGTGTACATAATTATTATCTTTATAGTCTTTTAAGAATATTGAGCTTTCTTTCAAATTAGTGACTTAATTGAATTAGTCTCTGGAAAATCAATGCAGCCAACAAAAATCAATCCTTTCACTTTGAGTCTTCCAAGCATTTTACTGTGCAACCTCCTTTCATTCATGCGCATTGCTTTGAAGCTTGAAGTTATTGTAGTCTTCTTCATGGCTCCTCAGAGTCACTTTTTAAAGTAATGTTTCTCAGGTGTTGAAAATTGATGAGTTTTCTTCTCAAAACTAAGACAACTTGCATTCACTTATTCACACATGAATACCTACCCCTTGCCAATGTCAAAAACCTATCTGCAATAAGTCAATGAGAACTTCCCTGCTGATTAGATGAGGTATAAGGTGAGGATTTTAAGGTCTGTGTAGATACTGACTCTTCTGGAGAAGCTGCAGTGGTGTGTTGTGAGTTCAGCCCATAATTCTAGACTTATGCTCATTTACTGACAGCTCTTCAGCCCCTCAGTAGTTGTGGCAGAAGCTCAGCCAGGACTAAAAAAAGAAAACCTTAACGTATTGTATGCCTGCTTGGATCCACCTACAGCAACATACTTGCATTATTGATTTTAAGACTTATTTCCTGATGACTTCTTCACCCACTCAGGTCTGGCATTTCAGGCCGAAATAAATAATGGCATTTCCCTTGACAGGAAAAATATTGGAAGTATAAATTACAAATACCTCAAATTATTAGACTAATTTGAAAAATTAAAATCTTAAAATTATATACTTTCAGGTAGCTCTACAGACAATATTATTTGGAACTGGTTGCTTTTGATGAGCAGGCCTGTATCCCACAGAAACTTGGAACATAATCCGGCTCTTGATTCACATGTAAATGCATTTCATTATTATATGCTGTATTTACTTCACTTGGAAGACCAATGCTATTTTCAGTAGAAAGATTTTTGTAAAGGAGATTTGTTTTCAATAAATACCAAATTACTGTTCAATACATAATGCTTAGTAACACTTAATAACTGTGAATGGTTCTGCTGTTCCTATGAATATGCCTGTAAGACATACTGGACTTTCAAGCAATGTTGACTGTATTCTTTTCTTTCCTTACTATACCTATTGATAGCTTCAAAGACAGCGTGGAGAAATCATCATCTTATTCTGACTGGCTAATAAACAATAGCATTGCTGAACTTGTAGCTTCCACAGGTCTCCCAGTGAACATCAGTGATGCCTATCAGGATCCTCGCTTTGATGCTGAAGTAAGAGATTTTTAGAAATGTAAATATACATCATATTTTTGGCATTGCAACTAATATAACACAATTTTATTACATACAAGTGACTGTAAAACATGAGAATTTTTTTTAAATTATTTTTTCTATTCATTATGTGTATATATCCTTCTGGTCTACTGGTGTTGACACAGCTTTATACAGTAAACACAGGTCACTGGATTAGTGCATGACTTCAAGCAGTTACTTAGTCTTTCCATGAGTCATTTTTTTTCTAGTTATAAGCAATACCTTCCTCTATCAAGTGCTTTGATACCTATGCAAACTGATTTTTTTATTGCTGAAAATTCTACTGTTGGTGTTTAGTGTTATCCGCACCATTGTTGTTAGCTGTTGGAGACTGGGATTGTGCACACAGAGTGTAAACAGAACCAGCATCTGGAGAGACAAATGTTGTTTGTGACCTAACTTAGCCAGCTAACTTTTTAATTTGCACAAATTAAACATACACACTGGATTTCTCCAAGATACATATCACTTCTAGTAAAAGTTGTGTATCCTAAGGTACCCCATTCATTCCAGCCTCAGTTAGGAAGGTGTAGATGCAGAGAAAAATGTATACGTGTACTTAACACCTAAATAAATGTTATGGAAGGACAAAATCTTCACGGAATTCTGTCCAGTGAAACAGTATTACTACGGGGGACTTGGCGAGCAATTGTGCAGCACGTTAATCAGTGGACAGCCTTGGTCAGCAAGCTTACTAAACTGTATTACTACAGTAAGTGTTGGAAGTGTTTCATGTTGAGAGTTTGGTTGCATTTTTATTTCTTGTGTTATTAAAGGGGTTATCTCTCAAATCAGCAGAATTTGTCAAAACAAGAAATATAAGGGGCCTGCTGTAGAAGTGTACAAGATGACTGCATTGATGCTAATTTGTTCAGAATTTCAAAAAGTACAATTAGTGCCTGGGGTCTATATCTTGCCAAAGAGATATGCTAAAATAAAGCACGCCAATTGTTGATATGTTTGCAGTTGTGCTTTTAATATAACATGTCCTGAATAATTCAGCTCTAATTTGTTTCACAGTTAGTCTTTTCCAAGTTAAAGGCACTGCCCAATTTATATAGAGAAAAAGAAAATGCTTAATACAATGGGCAGTGATTATTTTCTGTTGGTGGGTTCCTATGAAAATTTAACGCTTAAATTCAGTTTTTATCATCAGTTATTTCTACAAGACAGTCAAGTGTAGTAAGAAGAACGCGTTATCCCTTATGACTTAAAATTAAATATACGTTTGTAGCTATGACCAGATACTCTCTTCTCTGCTTTTTTTAAAAAATGCTCTCTTTTTCCTCCCAGAACACTAATTATTACTTTTAAATATTGATGCTCAACTTTCAACTTACCAAGAATGTAATGCCAAAGTATTTTCATTGAGTTCATTTTAAGATACACATCTGGGACAATTTTTTCCCCACTCCCATGGATTTTAGGTGGCACTCCACACTGATTTCAGTGATGAGTTCTGAAAAAACACTTTATTTTCTTTAGATTTTGCAGCAATGACCCTGCATATAGTTTATTAACTGTAGAAAAGAGAGAATCAGACACTTATAATAAATTGCAAAGTTTTATACTGTATTAGAAAACAATAAATTAGAAAATTCTTGCCAGAACTACAGGATAAATTAAACCTATATAGAAAATCTCAAATTTGGGTTTTAACCCCATCCTTCCATTTCTTCATAGCCTGCACTTTTGCACAATTCCCTACTTACTCTTGCTTTCCTTCTGAAAATGTGTATTTCCTGCAAGCCCCTTTTTATAGCTGTGTTGCTACATCCACTTTCAGTTTGAAAATTGGGAAGAGTATTTCTGAGGCACGCTTATTCAGTGGAGGTTGTCACTACTAATCCACCATTGTAAGTAATCCAGGAATTGTCTGAACATTGTCTCAGTTGCAGTTTGTCTTTAATTCCAGATCTAAGTCAAAGAGTGTAAGCTTTCTGTGGCAAAGATGGCAATATTTGTTCTCTTTGGCAATTTTTAGAATAATCCTTATGACTTCTGGTTAGTCTTACTGTGAATGATGTATCAGCAGAATTTTTTTCTGAGTGAGAGCTGATTCATATGGAAATGACATTTATAAATATAAACTTACTCCTTTACATTTCTACTACTAGAATGTAAAAGGCTCCAAATGATACCTACTGCTAATGGAACCCCTCATTTCTACGTTTTAGGCTGACCAGATTTCTGGCTTTCACATAAGGTCTGTTCTGTGTGTTCCTATATGGAATAGCAACCACCAAATAATCGGTAAGATCTTCCTCGTAGTTGCATTATTTTTGTGGTAATGTAAATTTAATTCTGTCTCTTTAATTCTATGTTCCTTGTTCATTTACCCAGTTGAATTTTGTTAAGAAGTTACAGTACCTAGGATGCATGTTAAGTATCCAAGAAGGGATTTTTTGACTCAGATGCTGTATGGACTTTTTCAGCTTTCCCATTATGTCACTGTTAAGTTATATATTGCATTGAAACTTGAAGACTAATGAGATAAAAACAGAAGTTCTTGCAATATTAGTGAAAAATGTTTTATACACTTTGCTTTTCTTGGGTCTCCCTTTTTTTGTATGCAACTCAGGCAACAGTTTCTCCATTTCAGCAAAGTGGTAATTTCCCTCTTTAATGATAAGCTACACAGTTGGGGAAGACTTACCAGAGAAGCTGTGGCAGCTGTCAGTTGCCTGTGGCAGGGATGTGTGCTGGATCAGGATGCGACAGGGTTTTATTGCTTGTTTGATAGGATGCTTCCCAGTTATGATACGCCTGCAATTGACCCTGTGTTATTACCTGCTTTTGGCACAAAAAGGAGTGCCATTTGTAAATAACAGTGCCAGATTCCTTGGTTAACTTTCCAGAGAAGAATCTGAGTCAGTGATAGCAACTTAAACCAGCAGGGCAAGACGCTACATCCCTGCGTGTTGTTGCTGTCAGTGAGATCTGAGATCAGTAGTGCATTGCTTGAAGGCACTCGTTGCCATGCAGGATCAGGATCTTTGAACTTATTCAGCAGAAATGACATGGGAATTGAGTCTTTCAAAAATATGGCTCATTGTTTGTTGTGAAGTGCATATTACCTTAAAGAAGTAGGAAGAAATTGAACCCTTCACTGCTGATAGCTCTTACAGTGCTTTTCTAAGGGCATAATTAAACAAAATCAAAACGCTTTGTTGCGGTAGAACTCAGTGTTAGTTCAACTAGAGCCAAGAGCTTTGAACAGTTTTTCTTTTTCAGTTGTTTTAAGGAAACTACATTTTTTCCATTGGTTCAATAAATTTATGGACTAGTCATGAGAAAAAAAGGACTTAAACCCAAGTGATGCTAAACCAACTAAGATTTTAGGAATGAAAGTACTGATTTAACAAATTATGTTAGTACTCCAGATTACTAGGACAAATTATGTGACTGATGTTAGCAAAGTGCTCAAGTTCTCTCCCAAAAAGATCTTTAACCTTTTTGGAAAAGCATTGCAGGTAACTTTTAGATTTGAAATATTATACTTGGAGAGTAAAGAATAACAGTTGAAAGAAATAAACTAAATCCTGGTATCAAAACAATCAGACTTTCACATGTTTATTGAGAATAAATATTTGCAGCTTTGCCTTTCAATTTGAAAGATGTATTTTAAATGTTACAAATGAGTAAAATATTCTGCACTGTGAATTAATGAATTAATATTATAATTCATATTAACTCTTTCCAAAGGGGTCGCTCAAGTGTTGAACAGGCTTGATGGGAAACCCTTTGACGATGCTGACCAGCGACTGTTTGAAGTAAGAGGCATTCAACTTTGGAGCAATAACATACTGCTTCAGCA